TCCTGCCTGACTGCCTATAGCTATCCTTAAATCCTTATAGCAAGTTATGTAAAAGAAACCAGAGCAGGGCTTGGGGGGTGAGTTCAATGGGAAATGGTGTTGTGAATCAAAGGAGCCATCCATCTAAGAAAATGCATCTTCTTCTGTGATCTTTGTTGGCAAAGCCTCATTTCATGCTGAGAGGACAAAAGGGACACTTTAATGGTGATATATGGGGGGGTGGGGGTCCCCATTTGGCACACTGCAACCCAGGAAAGTGGGACAATATGTGGATGGGGATCTTCATGCATTTACAAAACTCTGTTCATCATGTGTAAATAAAGGAAGGGGATATTGGTTTTAAACAAAATGCATTATCGTTTAACCCTTGTAGAACTATCCTTTGTAGAGACTTTGTACTACATCATAGCTCATTCATAATAAAGTAAATCAATGATGTGCTCACCACCACTGTACTCATCTGCTCTCCCAATAAAAATTTTCTGGCTACGGGCCTGGTCAGGAGCAGCCTGACAGGAGCATATTAAACACCTACATTAGCTGCCTACAGTTTATTTCTAAATTTCATTCAGGGAGCTGGCTATAACCTTTTCTTCAAAGTCCTTTGCTGCCTAGGCCCACACATCTGAGAGACTCTCGCACATGCACATGTCCCTGTGTGTCAATTATACTGTTCTACTCATCACCTTCCTGACAACCCTCCACCCAGGGATGCTCACCTGGCATCCACTAGGACCCATTTTCTTTTTTGGTGCTGCAAGCATTTGCTGTTTGTGAGGGCATTTAAAGACCATGAAGTACAGGCAATGGGATTTGAGGGGAGGGGGTAATGAAGTGTTTTTAAGAATGGTTTATTCTACATTTATGATTTTAATGGTGCAAACTGTGAACCACCTTGAGCCAAAAAGGCAGGATAAATAAATTGATACTTCACAATGGCATTGTTGAATTGATATCCAAAGGAAAAATGAATTATATCATGTTGCTCAATTAAAGCACATTTAGGCTTTTCACATCCCCCCAAACACCTCTCACAAGTTGTGTCTCAAAAACACAGAAACACATTCTGCTGTCTTCTCTACCATCTAAGAAGTTTAACACTACAACAGAAAGGAAAAAAGAAAAGACAGGATACTATGAATCTGTGACTAATAATATTACATCTAGATAAAGACCAGGTTTAAACATGACATTGGATATGTTTCCAAAAAATACTTCCTGTGCACAGTTCCACATAATGGGCATCATGTTTTAACTGTGTTGTTGATACCTGAGCATACACTGTTAGCAACATGTCAAAGCTCCATGCCCTGGATGTGCATTGTGCTAGTGTGTCAATGTGTTATATAGGCACTAGGATGGGCACAAAACAAACCACGGAACAAAATTTGTCTCAAAGTTGCCCTGTTCATGGTTCAGGAACAGAAGTTCTTGATGAGTCTACTGTCAAAAATTCCACAAACGTTTAGAGCAGTTAGTGCAGTTCATAGTATTTCATGGGTGGAGCAGAAAGCAGGGGTTGAAAGGGACCCTGAGTCCCTTTAAACCCTTGCCTTTTCTTTCCCGCAAAAGCCGCAAAAACAGCTGAGTGGCAGGGAAGCATTCCCCGCTACTCAGTTGTTTCGGGCTATCTTGTGCAGTCCTTTTAAACTTAAAGAGGACTGCAGAAGACAGTGCAAAAAACAGCTGCATGACAGGGAGGCGCTCCCCACTGCACAGGTGTTTTGTGCTGCCTTCTGCAGTCCCTTCAGCTGTTTTTTGGGCTTTCTGCAAAACAGACTTTCATGAATGAGCCTCCCAGTTCAGTTAGTGGTTCAGCCACTAACCACAAACTGAACCGCATTTTCCTGGTTCATGTCCATCCTTAATAGGCCCTGGCAACCCAGTTTAAATGAGACAGCAGTTATAGGGACCCTGAAGACGTTAATACAAATGCCCAACTGAACATTGGGGCCTAAACACTGAAGATTTTTGTTTGTTTGTTTGTCCATACAAGTTGGATATTTAATGATAAATCCACACCCAAAAATTAATAAGCAAAGGGACATCATTTATTTATTTCAAACACCATTACATTAGCAGACTATTCTTTAAAAAGGGAAGACCGTATTATATTACTCTTTACATTAGTTTAAAACTAGCCTGCCAAACAAAGATATGCAAACTCTAATTTTACAAACACAATGAAAGACCTTTTTTTGTACAAACTGCTTTCCCTCCGAAAAAAAGTTTAAAAATAGATACCAAGAATCTCCCTCTTTAAATATACATCCTTCCTTTCCTTTTAGATTTTCTTCTTTAGAAGCAGCACCTCCATCTCAGTTTAAGACCTAAATTTTGATCAGAAGTACAGAAAGTAGCGAAGGCAAAAACAACGTGAATAGCATTGTACAAAGTTATGATAGTATAGCATTTGCAGATCTCAGTGCCATCTATACCTGCATGTGTTTTAGAAAACAATGTTGTATTTTTTAAAAAAAACCTCTCATAGCAAAAATGTGGAATCCCTTTTCCTGTTTGCAGAAAGTAGACAAGTCATAGCAATTCCTAGTCTTTGGAGGAAGAAAAGAGATCCCCATCTAGATAGGTAATGATATTATACTATGCCTTGGTCTGATCTTTCTCTAACAGCTGTCTATGGGAGCCTGCCACTGATATCCATGAATCCATGGAGGGATGACTGGTCCCCCACTGATGTCTCCTACTGTAGGTACATAATCTTGTTATATGACAGGGCCTCTAATTCCCAATATGGCATTTTCCAGTCCTTGGATAAAATTAAACGTTCAGATTTTAAAAGATTAAGAAACCCCGAACTGGGGCACTGAAGCTTAGAAGGACAGGTTTATGGACCTGAAACATTTCTTAGTAAACTTTTCGGTACACTCAAGAAGTATTTCAACCAGAAGCTAGAAGTCTGACTTAACAAAGGTAGATCTTCAAACTAATAACAACATCTGTGTTTTGGAAGTCGAGTTACCCCATATTTAACACCCTGCTCATACACAGAAAGAGAGCGGGTGAACTGTTCATGAGTTCATTTTTTGTTTCTTCCTTATAGTCTCTTCTGGCCCTTCTTCTGGAATGAGCTTTTCAAGAAGCTGCGGTACCCAGGGTCGTCCACAAATTCATTCTTAAATCTGGAACTCAGCACCCTCTGTCTCTTCTTTTCTCCCTGGATGATATCAGCTCCATAGAATGTGTCTTCAAATCTCATATCAGATGCTGTAGACTAAAAACAAGTGTTCTTTATATAATCACACAGAATAACAGCATAGAAACGGATTTTTTCCTACCTTGGTATAATAAAATTTCTTCAAAATCAAGACAGCAGCAATCTCTTGTAAAAGATACATTTAGAGCTGGTGAGAGGAAGAGGGGAGGAGAAAGCTTTTAACTTAGTTAAACGGAAGAGGGGTAATTTCTATTCAGTGCCTACTTCTGGTTCCCTCTCTGACCACGAACAGACAGAGTCTCCTTTCTTCTCAGCCTCTCTCCTAGTCTGCCTTTTATAAGTGGTTCTCCAACCATGCCAATTTTCTGTCACTTGACTTGCTCAATGAATAGACCTTTTCTCATAAGCAGGCCTATTCTCATGAACAGAGTATTTCTTTTGAGGACATCTCTGTCAGGGTCAACAGCACTGGGCAATAGATGGAACTGGCCAATGGTAGGTAACTGCCTGCCACCTCCATAGCAGGGTATTGCTTCCTCCATGGTTCCTTTCTGCTCAGCTGTATGCTGTTTGAACCGGGTTTGATTCCCCACTCCTCCACTTGCACCTGGCTGGATGACCTTGGGCAAGCCGTAGCTCTGATAAGAGCTGTTCTTGAAAAAGAGCAGTTTCTGTCAAGAGCTCTCTCAGCCCCACCTACCTCACAGGGTGTCTGTTGTGGGGAGGGGAAGGGAAAGGAGTCTGTAAGCCGCTCTGAGACTCCCTTGGGTAGTGAAGGGCGGGGTATAAATCCAATCTCTTCTTCTTCTTCTTCTTTTTCTTCCTCCCATGCTATGGACATCACTTAAATATCCGAGAGTTCTGCAAGGTGGTGAGGCTGACCATGAAACTACACAGGGGGCCTTCCAGGACAGTGTGGCAGAAACTTTCCTTATTAACCATTAGCCACTAATTGCATCTGAGACCATGCCAGACTGGGATGGAATTCACTGCACTGATTCTCTGGCACTGGCAGAACTATTTATGATGCATTGGGTAGGAGGCGCTTAGCACCCTGTCTTCCGAGCCAATAAGACAGATGCAGGAAAGGGGCTGTTTAAATGCTTACAGCAGGGCTGTATTAATACATGTTGAGACTCTAAGCTATATGAGGCCCCTTAGCGTCACCAAAGAAATGTTAATTTAGTAATTTGTTTGTATTTAGAGGCCACAAGCTGTAGTTGCTCAGTGTATGCATAAATCTAACTCTGATTTCTGTACTCTATTAGCTATTACCCAAGCCTTTTAAGCGTTTCACTTCCCACTATAGAGGTGCAAAAGTCCAACCTGGTGTCATTCAGAATAAGGAAATATGGAGTTCACACAAAGCCTAAGAAATTGATCTGAAGGCATCTGATATGATTGTAAAGCTCAGAAGTCTGTATTTGAGCACCACAGGTCTTAGGAAGATATAAATGTGAACATACAATTCATTCTGGTACATATGTCTCTTTATTTTTCAGGTATTCAAAAGCATGACTGAGATTGATCTGCAGTTCCTACTTAAAAGCAATTGGGTCTGGATATTTACCTTCTGTGTTCCTCCCCGGCATCCTGGAGAGAAGGTATCAGTCTACCGGCTATCCTCTAGAGTTCTTCACTATAGAATGTCCCAATTCTCCATTATCTTTCCCCATTGTTCCCATTTCTATCTTGGCTCCATTTATAAGCAGTGGTTTTAGAGTTACTTAAGCTATTAAAATTAGCATAGGAAAAAACTGATCTATAGAACTGTCACAACTTTAAAATGAATAGCATTAAGGCACCATATCTGTAGAACTAGTCAGTCTCATTATGGCTTTGTTGATCTGTTTTCTTACTACATTTGGTGTGTATTGTAATTCCAAGAATGTCTGTTGTAGGTTCTGCAGATCAACAATGCCTGAATGATATCAAGAGATAACCTACTACAAGGTAGGCCTAAACTGAACAATAACAGAACTCCACAGCTCTCAGCTCAAACTGGTTCAACACATCATTAACAACCTACAGCCTATGCTGGACAATGATACTCCTCTCTCACAGGCACTGGGAGGCAAACCTTTTCTTAGCCACAGACAGCCTCCTAACTTTAAACAACTTCTCACCCACAGCAATACAACATGGACATGGAATCTGGGACCACGACCTGTGACAAACCAAGATGGCAGCTCTGTCTCCATATCCACTCTAGCAACACAGTAACCAGACCTAACAACACCAACCACACCATCTCAGGTTCATTCACTTGTTCATCTTCCAGTGTTATATATGCCATCAACTGTCAGCAATGTCCTTTCAATCTCTACACTGGACAAACAGCTCAGTCCCGACGCAAAAGAATAAATGGACATAAATCTGTCATTAAAACCTACAACACTAAAAAACCAGTGGGAGAACATTTAATCATCGAAACACAGAGCTGGAAGGGACCCCAAGGGTCATTTAGTCCAAGCCCTTACACAATGCAGGAAATTCACAGACACCTCCTCCATGAACCCTGCTCCATATGGCAGAGGAAGGAAAAAAACCTTCAGGATCCTTGGGCCAATCTGGCCTGGAGGAAAATTCCTTCCTGACTCCAAAGTGATGATTGGCATTACCCTGGGCAAATAAGAAAGGGCCACAAGAGCCGAGCACTGGCTCATCCCTTCCTGCCCTCCCTCTCACAATCTTCCCAAACTCATAATGAGTCATACAATCAGCATTGCTGTCAGATGGGCATTTAGTTGTCAAACAAAGAAATTTCAAGGGGAAATTATAACATGAGATTGCTGAATCTGAGTTCATTCACAAGGTGACAACAATGAAACCCCCAAGGCTGAATAGGGAAATAGGATTCTTATCTTACTACAGATGCTAATTTTCTGCCTCCAAGAATTTCCCCTCTGCTAAAGAATAAATGGACATAAATCTGTCATTAAAACCTACAACACTAAAAAACCAGTGGGAGAACATTTAATCATCGAAACACAGAGCTGGAAGGGACCCCAAGGGTCATTTAGTCCAAGCCCCTACACAATGCAGGAAATTCACAGACACCTCCTCCATGAACCCTGCTCCATATGGCAGAGGAAGGAAAAAAACCTTCAGGATCCTTGGGCCAATCTGGCCTGGAGGAAAATTCCTTCCTGACTCCAAAGTGATGATTGGCATTACCCTGGGCAAATAAGAAAGGGCCACAAGAGCCGAGCACTGGCTCATCCCTTCCTGCCCTCCCTCTCACAATCTTCCCAAACTCATAATGAGTCATACAATCAGCATTGCTGTCAGATGGGCATTTAGTTGTCAAACAAAGAAATTTCAAGGGGAAATTATAACATGAGGTGACAACAATGAAACCCCCAAGGCTGAATAGGGAAATAGGATTCTTATCTTACTACAGATGCTAATTTTCTGCCTCCAAGAATTTCCCCTCTGCTTTATCAAGCTGATTACAATGTGCATTGTAGACTTGCATCCTTTACAACACCCCTCCTACCTTCTGACTAAGATAAAAGGACTCCAAGATCTCCATTTCTACTTACTCTTGTCTGATGAAGGGGGCTTTGACTCTCATTTGTCTCCAAGGTGCTACTGGACTTGAATCTAACACATTATTATACTATCGAAGAACCATCTCTTTTGTATATGTTGTCAGGCAATTGCTGATTCTACTAATATAGTTGGAATTTTGAAACTAGTTTGTTAGACCAGAGACACTGTGTCCTGACAAAATCATTCCAATTTGTACACCACTTTTACGGGCATGATTCTAGTTTACACAGAATAGATTTCGACTTAACACTTCCTGGCCCACCAGAGAATCTATCACAATTCTGCTTGTCTACAGCTGAGAGATACTGCTGCCATCTCTGTTTAATGAGTCTTTCCCTGTCTTGAAAATATGAGCCATCATTACCCAGCACACTGCTAGGAATTTTGGCCAACTTATTAGCGTTGAGTTGGTTTTGCCTAAAGTGTCAACTGCTAGGAGTCAAGGGTTTTACAACAGAGCCTTCATACTGCTTAAACAGTAGTGGATGTCATTCCTCAATGAGCAATTCACCTACAGGCATGGGGGAGTACACACAAGTGCTGTGCAAGGAGTGAACGTCTTTGTGTATGTTGTACCTCACACATATGAATAGAAGGTAACTGGCAGTTAACATGGAGTGAGCTAAATATTCATCTAGAGTTAGATGCAGCCTTACCAGAGGTTTTACCATCTATTCTTTAGAAACCTGATTGGGTGTCAATTGCAGAAAAGTCTATTTGCTTATGCTAAGCTTTGCTTGTGCCTTTGTAAACAAAACAAATATTATGAAGACACTGTGTCTCCGATGCTTTCCAATCCAAAACAAATTAAACTTTGAAGCCCCTGTAAAATTTGGAGCACACAGCAGAGGGAGGCAATATAAAGTTCACCAAGGCTGGTTCCCTGGGGAAAACAAAGTGTCACTGGACTTTTGTTTCATTTCCCTATAAAACTAAAACATTTATTTTATTTTTTTAATGTATTTTTCACATTTATACCCCGCCCTCCCCAATGGGCTCAGGGCGGCTGGCATAACAAGATCAGGTTACCCATCCAGGTGAGGGCTAACATGGCAATCCCTTTGCAATTTCCCATGAATGACCAAGTTGTGAGTGAAATGCCATATGACACCAAAGGATCCAACAAGAAAAATCTTCACAGGTCAAATGAGGCCTTACTTGACTTGCTGACAGAAATTAAAAAAAGTCACATATATGCTAAATCATCACATTTGTGCAGGGCTTTTTTTTTTTAGAAGAAGCCCAGCAGGAACTCATTAGCATAACAGGCCACCCCTGACAGCACAGCTCATTAGCATATTAGGCCACACACCCCATGCCTTCCCTTGGCTGTGGGGAGCCCGGACAAGCCGGCCCTTGGAGGGGAGGCAGTTTAAATTGCCTTCCCTTGGCTTGCCTTTGGACAGGACGGGGAAGGTATGGGGAGGCATTTAAATGTCTCCCCGATCCTTCCAGGGGCCCCCCTGGCCCACCCGCCTTGGAGCTGCCAGGGGGGGTCACTCTACAGGCTTTCCCTCTGTAGCCACGCACTCAGAGGTTTTGGCTGTAGTGGGCGTGGCCAACTCTGAAGCCAAAAATAGCCTGCATTTGTGAGAATTGTAAAGAATTTCAGAGGTTGGCTTGGTAGTATCTGCTAGAGCAAACGTCTTCTCTGTTACTTACAAATCGGGCTCTCACTCTTTTAGGCAACTCTTCATCAAGAGTGTAGATTTCTTCTCTCTTTGTTGCAATCTGAGAACCATCTTCAAACTCGACCTAATTTTTAAAGAAGGGAATTAATCACATTATCATTCTGTTATTCACATGGGCTATCATGGGTAGCCAAACACATGTTCTTGAATTGGTCCTTGGAAATATCCCAGGGAGAGTTTTCTTGGAACTTTCATAGAAATCCGATGTATCGTTATACAGGCTTGAAACAATAACTGCATGAAATCTGGCAACTGAAAGCTAGTTCAAACTTAGACGTATGAAAGTACACACCGGGAACAGCAGCAAAACCAAAAATCCTAGGCATTCTGAATAATGCCTACATACACAAATATTATATAACATATTAAAATAGCTTGATACATTTGTCTCTAATTTTCCAAGTGATAAGAATTAATCACTCTGTTTTCAAGGTAGCGGAAGACTTATGTCAAAAGGGGGAAGGCATGAGTGATACTAAAGGAAATGCCAGTTAACAGAATTATATTGAATCTGATGGAACTTCTTTAAAATGGTCGGTTCAGAAGATGAAAAGCTTTATCATGCTTAGGTTTAGATCTAATCCAGCATGAACCCCTTTAGCAGAAAATGAGAAATGAAATGCAGCTAGGTAAGGGAATGCTAAATTACTGTGCTGCTGCACTAGCTATATCTTTCAGAAGTTATAAGTTACTTTCTGACATGACCTTTCACCTGTCAGACATTGACAAAGCATTAGCTACAATTGCACTTTGAATTCCTGACCAAATATCTATTAGTATATTTTATGTTTTATACTAAAGTAGGAAGACATAACTTCTACACATATGACATTAAAGCCAATAGGCACATATCTCTATTCAAAAGTCATGTCCAAAGTGCAGACATGAAATCTCCCAAGGCAGATGAGTACAAGTTCCAGTGCCCCATCACACATAATACAGGCATCTGTATAAAAATAATATGGAAGATAAAACCTAATTCTAGATGTCCTTACAGCTGAGCCAGGTGGGGTCACTGAAGACCTGAATAGGTGTCAGAGATGAATATGGGTCAGTAAACTGAAGCTCAGTCCATACAAGACTGAGTTACTGCTGGTCAATGGCAAAGCTGCTCAAGTGCTCAGGAGTTTGCATGTCCTGGAGGGGGCTGCACTCCCCCTGAGGTACATGCTTAGAGTTTAGGAGTGCTACTGGATCCTGGCCCAGGGTTGGAGGGTCAGGTCTCCTCTGTGGCATACAGCACTTTCCATCATTTTGGGCTGACATACCAGCTCTACCCATTCCTCAAAAAACATGATTTGGCCAAATTGATCCATGCTCTGATCACATCCAGATTAGATTACTGTAATCTGGGAGGGGGGGGTTTCGGGGGAATGCGCTGGAATGGAGTTCCGGAACCTCTTCGACAAAATTATTTTTTAAATGTTTAAAAGTTCATGAGTTTTCAGTATACTGATTGAAAACTTCATGTCCCTCTTGAGTGTTCCAGCACCTCTTAAAAAAAGAAGCCCTGACTGTCATGTGTTCCATGTGAGGATGCCTTTGGAAACTTCATTTGGTCCAGAACATAGCAGCCAGGTTATGGTTGGGGATTAGGCACAGGAATCATATCACCCTTGTGTTGAAAGAGGTGCAGTCGCTACCCTTTTGTTTCCAGGCACAATTCAAAGTGCTGGTTCTTACCTATAAGGTCCTAAATGTCTTGGGGTCAGGACACTTGAAGGATCTCCTTCCCCCATTTTATCCAGCCCACCAGTTCAGATGTTCCTTTCAAGAAATGCTTTCTGTGCCTGCACCTGCAGAAGTCAGGTGGGTGGAGAACAATGCCAGGGCTTTTCAGTGGTAGCACCTTGCCTTTGGAAGGCCCTCCCCGTTGAGGCTTGCCTGCCACTTATCTCACTTTTCTTTAGACACATCTCTTTGCCCAGGCTTTTTATCTATTTTACCTGCTTTTTAGTCTGCTCCATGCCAAAGGACTGTTTTAGTTTTATCAGTACCATTTTAGATCACTCTGTTTTTATATATCTTTATGCCCTAGCTTGTTTTTATTGACATGGTTTTATTTATTCGTGTTATTGACTTGGGTTGTTTTACTGATTGTTTATTTGTGTAATTTGTTTTTATTGACTCATTTTTATTGTCCTGGCTGATCTTGTTTTATAGCTTTGGTTGTGAGCTGCCTCAAGCAGCATGCAAATTTTCTAAACAAATAATAGCTTTACATTCCAACAAGACTATGATAATCAAAATACATAAAATTCATGTGTGCTTTGCTAAATCACATAGAAACCATATTATATGGCTGGCTATTATATACCTAGCAACTTCCATAAATCCTTCTTGGCCTAAAGAGGAATGGCTTCAAAGGTTCAAAGTGGTAGACATCACCAACATCACACAATCTAGTGAAAGCTTGTTTTACTATCCTTTTTTCAGTTCTGTTCTAGTGAAAGATAATTTTTTTAGTATTCTTTCTAATGGGTAAAAAAAAATCACATTTCAATATGATGGACAAAACAAAGCACCCAAGGCAGTCTGGAGAAAAAAGAGGTTACACTTGCCTGTTAACATTTGTTCATCGAGTGGACTTCTGTACAGGTACATATGAGACTGTGCTTCTGCAGGGCAGGCAAAGAGAGGAGCTAGCGAGATTTTAAAGAGAATTTTCGAGTCTCCCAATAGTGCTCCCCTTCCCATGCCCTGTGTTGAGTGTGTTTTTCCTGCCCAATTGTCACGTGATGTGGGAGGGGCAAGCACTCTTCCCTCAGTTCTCCCTTCGCCGGCATAATAATGAGCCCAAATAATGAATAGCCCACGGCAGGGAAAGGAGTGAGGGATGAGTGCCTGCACAAAATACCACTCAATGAACAAAGGTTGCAAGTAAGTGAAAGCCCTTTTTCATCTTTGTGGCTTCTGTGCAGTGCCACTTGGGAGAATAGCAAACTTACCAAGGAGGAGGAGGAGGGTGTGGGCTGACAGCAAAAAAGTGATTGTAACATTACTTTTCCCACAGCTGCCTCACTCCTGGAGTCAACATCCATTGAATAATGGCATACGAAAGTCGGAGGCTTTGACCAAGTGGCTGCCTTGCATATGGCCTCAAGTGGTACTCCAGCAGAGAATGCTACAGAGGAAGCCTGGGCCCTTATCGAGTGTGCAGACACAGTGAATGGACATTGTGTACTACCCTCAGAGTATGCTATCTTAATAGCTGACAATATCCATCACAATACTGTCTGTGCAGAGGCAGCTCTTTCTGATGAGGAAGTTGGGGGTGGGAAGAAGGTTGGAAGAGTGATGTCCTGCCCCAAGTGGAACCTCGAAAACCACCTTTGGTAGAAACGCCATGCATGGCCTCAAGACTGCCTTTTCTACACGAAATTTTATGAAGGGAGGGTCACAGCAAAGGGAGCTTAGCTCTCCCACCATCCTAACAGATGTCACAGCAACTAGAAATGACATCTTGTATGAAAGAAGGGACATGTCACACGTAGCCATCAGTTCAAACGGTTTATACATGAGTCTAGATAACACTAAGGACACAGTGGGTGGGTATAAATTTGGCAATCCTTTAAGGAATCATTTAGCCTCTACAGTAGAGAAAACAGTAGAACCATTAATTAACTCATGAAATGACGAAACTGCAGCCAAATGCACCTTAATGGAAGAGGCTGAAAGCCCCTCATTCTTTAGGGAGAGGAAGTATTCAAATATTTGAAATATGGTACAGGTTTCTGGTTGAAGGCTATGTTGACTAGCCCATATCGAAAACTATTTCCATTTGTACTCATAAGGCTTCCTCGTGGAAGGCTTATGAACAGCTGTTAGGACTTCTGTCACTTTCTCTCTTAAGGAGGGTTTGGGCTGATCCACCAAGCTGTTAGGTGAAGTCAGTTGGGGCCTAGTTATAGCAGGTCATCTTCCCTGGGGAGAATTTTGAACTGACCCCAGGGCAGCTTTCACTGCAGTGGGAACCAGCTTCACCTTGGCCAGTATGGTGTTATGAGAATGCAGACTGTTCTGTCTATGTTCAGCTTGGCAATCACCTTGTGGAGTATGCCAAAAGGAGTAAACACATAGAACAGGCGTCCATGCCATAAACATTGGAAGGCATCCCCCAGTGAACCATGACCCAGTGCTGCTCAGAAGCAGAACTGCAGGCATTTCTTGTTGAGTGAGGTCGCAAACAGGAAAGCCCCATTCGTGAAAGACTGGTTAAAGGTAACTATCTGTGATTGATCATTCTTGGGAAATTTCTATGTCTCTGCTCAGTGTGTTTGCTACAATATTGGATTGCCCTGCTATGTGGATTGCTGTAAGGTATACTTTGTGATGAATTGCACAGCGCCAGATGTGAGTGGCTTCTGCACACTACTGGACAGCCCGTCCCTCCTTGTTTATATAGAATTTTATCATGGTATTGTCTGTGGCCACGAGAACTCAGTGACCTTGCAGCCAGTCTGTAAGAAGAAAAAAAGTGTGTCTTACTGCCCTGAGTCCTAATAAATTAATGTAAAGATGTGTCTCACTAACAGACCATAGACCCTGCACAGTGTGAAACCCACAATGTGTTCTCCAACCTGTTAAGGAGACATCTGTAGAAACCTGCAATTTGTGACCTTGAGTACCCAGGGGTGTAGCCTTCAGAAAGTGCAGCATCTTAGTCCACCAGATTAGAGACCTGAGTATTGGTCTGGGGATAGAAAGCCTCATCCATTGACTGTCTGTGGATTGTATTGTCTAATAAACCAATTCTGAATGGGTCTCATGAATAATCGAGCATGTGGGGTGACTACTGTCCTGCGGAAGTGCAGTCCCATGTGGGACTGCACAGAAGCCATGAAGATGAACCATGTTTTTGCCATGATCCCTCCCCCCAGTTCTTCTATAGAAGATTCAGTCATATCTGCCACCCCAGCTAATTGGAAGTCAAAGTCTATTCTTACTGTGCTAGAAACCATTCCCAAACTGTTGATACCTAATAATAAGTAATGGTTGTTCAATAAGAGGCTATGACTGAGGGAGTCAGTAGACTATCTCTAATGAATCCAAATCAGAATCAGGCTTCATTGGGTGAACTGAAGACCAGTAACTTTGTCAATCACTGTCCATATTAATTTATTTCAGCCCCAAGAGATACACATAATAATAAAAACCACTACCACAATAATATGCAGGACATTTGCTATTTAGTTCTCTCCATGTGATTTTCTTGCATTAGGACATCATAAATTAGTGGTTTAATTGAAATTGCTAGAAAGCATTTGATTAGGTACACGGATAATTTAGTCATCTTCATAAGCTTACACATGCATATTAAAAAGGAACACATAAGCAAGGCACTAAATGCTTAGGACTCAAATTTTCCCTCAAAAATACAGACCTGATTTTGCACGTAATTACTACTGTGTCTCAAAGTGATTAAGAAAAACACATACAAAGGTCACAACAGTTGCTTAAAGTGATCCTTCTTTAGAATTGTATTAATTGCATTCTGTCCACTTTGTGAATTTATCTGTATGAATAGCACAGATATGCAAAAATATTTTTTTCTGTTTATATACAGATCTTAAAATTGGGGAGGGCGGTATATAAATCTAATAAATAAATAAATAAAAATTTGCTTAGATCTGCAACATCAAAGCACTGACCATGCAGGTACTTCAGACTTAGCTGCATATGATCAAGGCAATCCACATCTTATGCTAAAGCTGTATATGATGAAGTCCTAGTAGTCTTTTTGACTGCAAATTGCCCTGGGGAGGGGGTGATTGAATAAGTGAGAAGGAGGAAATGAGTAGTTAGAAACCTTCCTTGCCAGTTGCTTCCCTCCTGAAAGTCTCCCAACCCAGCTGTTTTTATTTCTGCCAATATTCCAAGTCTGCTTTTACTCATAGGTCTGGGGGGCAGGGATTCAAGGAAATAACAACTGGTGTAAGGAGCAACTGAAGCACTCTTCCCATCTATCTGATGCAAATCACGCCTTCCAAGCCATCATGCTTCTGTTGCTGCAAGGTAATATGCAATTTCCCCAGAGTTATGCAAGGATCTTCCTTTGGGGAATCTGTAATATGTAAAGATGCCATAAATAAGACAGTCTCAACCAGTCCTGAACTGTTCATTTCTTAAATGCCTCCCGAATACCATATTATCATTATGAGCTGCTTGTTTAAATCACACCAAATATCTTTCTTCCTTTTTATACAACACATCATAAGATCCTTCTGCTTCGTTGAAAGCTTTGTTATATAGCAATCATGAGGAATGGGTGCAGCTGGTTAATTAAATGTGCTGGACAATGATGCTTTATTCCTGTGTTCCAGCCGCTAACCAGCATAATCTGCAGCAACCTACCCCACCATTGAGAATGCCATGGCAAAAAGCCCTCCCCCCCCCCAATCTGGCAGGACCCTTCCCCTTCTTCCTGAGCCACGGAGCTATCCTACACAGCAGGCAGACAAGCAGGCCAGCTGCCCAGGAGTCTTCCAGCAGAACTGGTTCCCAAAAGCTTGAGGCAGGTTCAGTAGGAAGGAGCTGCCTGAGGAAGATGTCAGCTGACAGGGCTGGCTGTAAAAAGCCCAGCTATGGCTGGAGGCATCAGTCTGGCTGGCTGGCTGGCAATGCAGGAGTGGGGTGCCTGTGCAGTCAAAGACAAATTACTATAGTGGCTGAGGGAGAAGGGCTTGCCCTCTGGGTGATGCCAGTTAACTAAGCATCTGTTTCAGCCCCAAGGGCTCTGTTTCAGCCCCTCTGGGTGATGCCAGTTAACTAAGCATTCTGGATCATCAAGTGCAAGATAACAAATCCTTTACTGAACATCTTTTAAACATGATTAGCAGATAGGACACATCACTGTGAAACAGTGTAAGTTATTAATGTTTTGCATGTGCCCTTAGAAAGGTCACTTAACATACCTTTATGTTTCTACAACAAATAGGAAATAAATTTACTCCTCTAAGGCATGTTTTGTGTGTGGAGGTGTGCATGCAATGGTCACAAGTGGCAAGAACAATGGCCAACTGTACACCGCCTAATCTTGTGACCCTCAAAAGAACTTTGCACCAATGTTTCAAGTTCCTTTCATTTGCCTTTCTCTAGAACCATCAGAACCTCTTTCACCAAGTTTTCCTTTCCCAGCTTATATGTTAGAATCCTGCTGTCAAATGCTCTGTTCAGGAGTTTTTATTACAACACTATGAATACTCCCGACTGGGAATGCCCACGTATAAGAGGCCAGTCACCAGAAGAGAGTAGGACAATTAGCACAAGGTGCTGCTCTTAGCTAGCTTTAATCCACAGCTGTTGACAGACATGGTAAAAATATGGGGCTGGGTAACAGAAAAAATTCATAAAAGTATACACTAAGTTAAGGCGTCAGCTGAGCAATGCCCACTGTGAACTTCAGCTAGATGTTCTTGGCAAGATGTCACACACCATGCATTGAAACACCTAAGTGGTGCGATTTGAAATGAAGAAATGGTGTATGGGGAAAGGGTCAATGCCTGTGTTTCACTGCTTCTCCACTGCTGATCACACCTTCCAGAAATAGCTTTTCCTGTTTTAAAATAGCCACTGGGCTACCAGTACAAACCTTTGTGCCCTAAAGTGTGTGGACTTTTCAATCTGACATTTTGGTATCGTAGACTTTCTTACTTTAAAGCACCTGCCTAGGACTAATATATGACTGATTGTCATTATAGTTAACCTTGAATAAGACAGAGATTTTTCCCCCCAGATTATAGTGACTTGTACTTATAAAATTTAATGCTTAAATACACCACGGGCCCGCATGTCTGAAACTTTTGTATTATTCCAGTATGGATAATGAGATTTCTTGCTTGCATACTTCAGAATTGTGGTCCAAGCAGCTGGAAACCCAAGTTCATATGCTGCTTTTACAGATAAGGGATATGTTAGAATGAGCAATTCACCCTGGCTGACCTAAAATGATCTGTATGACCAAGTATTTCCCCCCCCCCGATCTTTGGAAGCCAGAGTCACAGCTTTTCAAGGTAAAAGTGAAGTCAGGAAACACTCTCCACAGAACAGAACTGCACAGAATCACAGGGGGAAGCTTTCATAGGGAGTAGGGAGAAGGATCATTGAGAGGTTTCTATGCAGCACCTGGGAGGCAATCCTCTCCCCAATGTTATCTAACATCTACATGCACTCTCTCGCCCAGCTGATGTGGAGTTTTGGGCTGGGATGTCTCCAGTACATTGATGACACTCAGCTATATCTGTTGATGGGCGGCCGGCTGAATACCACCCCAGACAATCTGGCCAGGGGTCTAGAGGTTGTGGTTGGTTGGTTGAAGAAGAGTCGGATGAAACTAAATCTGTCAAAGACGGAGGTCCTGTGGCTGAGCTGGGGAGACCCCAGGTTGGGAAGCCAACTTCCAGCCATTGACATCAAGGCCATTTGTGAAGAGCTTAGGGGTAATTCTGGATGCCTCCCTTTCAATGGAGGCCCAGATCACAAATGTTGCCAGACTGGGCTTTTCCCCATCTATGTCTAGTCCAGCAACTGGTCCCCTTACTGTTCCCCCCCCCCAACTTAGCCACAGTGATCCATGAAACAGTCACATCCAGTCTAGACACTACTGTAACTCACTTTATGCAGGGCTGCTATTGAGACTGACCCAGAAACTCTAATTGGCCCAGAATGCGGCTGCGCGTGTGCTTACAAGCACTCCTCTTAGAGCCCATATACAACCGGTGCTCCTCCAGCTGCAATGGCTCCAAGTCGAATACCTGATAAGATTCAAGGTTTTGGTTTTAACCGTCAAAGCCCTACATGGTCTGGGACCAACATATCTATGGAACCATCTCTCCTAGTAGGACCCCCAAAGAGCCACAAGCAACAACCTTCTGGCAGTCCCCGGCCCCAAAATCATTAGTCTTGCCTCAACCTGAGCCAAAGCCTTCTTGGCTCTGGTCCCAGCCTGGTGAAACACCCTTCCGGGTGAGATCCGGGCCCTGCAAAATCTGATTCAGTTCTGCAGGGCCTGAAAAACTGAAATGTTCTGCCAGGCATACGGGTTGAGGCGGCGAGGTCTTCCAGCCTCCCCCAGCTCTCCTCTCCTCCCCTCTCCATCTCGCCACTCATTACACTGTGTACCAGCTCTATAAACCACACAGCTGCACAGCCCCACCTGGATACTGTGTAGTCAGTGCCAAAGGTGCTGTCTGATTTTAGCTTTAATTATTATTGTATGAAATTGTTTTTAATAAACTATTGTTTTAATTTGTTGTACCCCGCTGTGAGCCTTGCTACACAAAGAAGGGCAGGTTAGAAATCTAATGAATAACTGTCATACAGGCCAGAGAAAATCATCTGAACAAGATGACAGAGACTTATCCCTGTTATAAAGTTTTCCAACTAGCACTGACAATATAACCCTACAAATTTAAGGAACCTGGGGTGAAAAACAATACAGGCTTCTGACAAAGACATCAGTCATTCAAACTTACCTGATACATGCAAGCCACGTTGGTTCCTAGATATTTTGCACCATAAAGTTTTCCATCAGGCCACTTCACTTGAACAACTTCTCCCTCCGCAGGTGGGCCCAGCTTCAGGCAATCTCTACTCTGTTTCAAAACATCATGAACACTTATTTCTATTAAAAAGCAAGAAGGTAAAGTTGGAAACTGATCTGCACAACTTGATTACCTTGTAACTGTAACACACTTTTTTGTGAGAAACAGAGTGACCAAAACCCACACTCCTAATAATTGTACAAAACCAAAATAACATCATGCTTTAAAAAACCATAAGACATTATAAGTGAAGATGTAATAAGAGTACTACACAGGCATCTACTTCAAAGAAGAGCCTTGTCATACAATTTACTGTATCTGAGAAATGTGATGTTGCAAAGGAAATACGCCTTCATGTACTAACTAAAGCCCATGACTGGAGAGCACTCAAGAATAATAATGTCATAATTTAAGGACATCCCTTTGCTCATTAAACTAGCTGTTCAGCTGACCTCTGTTCCTGTAGAATAGTAACACTTCTTATCCCTGTATCATATATTTTTTAGGTTTGATCTCATCCTTTCTCTGGGTTTTGTATGTATGTCACAATATGTTCTCTAGGATTTTGTGTGTGTGCTTGAAGTATCATCAAGTCATTTCCAACTTATGGCAACCCTATGAATTAATGAGTTCCAAAACATTTTATTATTAACAGCCTTGCTCAGGTCTTACAAAATGAAAGCTGGGTCTTCCTTAACTAAATCAGTCCATCTCATGTTGGGTCTTCCTCTTTTCCTGTCTCCTTCAACTTTTCCTAGTATATTGCCTTTTCCAATGAGCCTTGTCTTCTCATAATATGACCAAAGTACAACAGCTTCAGTTTAGCTTCTAGGGAGAGTTCAGGCTTGATTTTATCTACAACCCACTTACTGTGGATTGACAAAAAGACAAATAACTGTAAAACTCTTCTCTAAGACCACATTTCAAATGAATCAGCTTTCTTTCTATCAGCTATCTTCATTGTCCAACTTTCACACCCATATATAGTAATGGGGAATACTATACTATGAATTATTTTAATCTTAGAATCATAGAGTTGGAAGGTACCTCCAGGGTCATCTAGTCCAACCCCCTGCACAATGCAGGAAATTCACAGTCACCCCACACACACACCCAGTGACCCCTGTTCCATGCTCAGAAGATGACAAAAAACCTCCAGGATCCCCAGCCAAAATGGCCTGGAGAAAAATTGCTTCCTGACCCCAAAGTGATGATCAGCATTTCCCTGAGCATATAAGAAAGGGCCACAAGAACTAAGCACTGATGCAACCCTGCCTGCCCTCCTTCTCATGATCTGCCTAAGTTCACAGAATCAGCATTGTTGTCAGATGGCCATCTAGCCTCTGTTTAAAAACCTCCAAAGAAGGAGAGCCCACAACCTCCCAAGGAAGTCTGTTCCACTGAGGAACCACTCTGTCAGGATGTTCTTACTGATATTTAGCCAAAAACAATTCTGATTTAATTTCAACCCGTTGGTTCTGGTCCGACCTTCTGGGGCAACAGAAAACAACTTCGTACAATCCTCTATATGATAGCCCTTCAAGTACTTGAAGATGGTTATCATATCACCTCTCAGTTGTCTCCTCTCCAGGCTAAACATACCCAGCTCCTTCAACCTTTCCTCATAGGACTTGGTTTCCAGACCCCTCACCATCTTCATTGCCCTCCTCTGGACATGTTCCAGCTTGTCTATATCCTTCTTAAATTGTGGTGCCCAAAACTGAACACAGTGTTCTAGGTGAGGTCTAATCAGAGCAGAGTAAAGCGATACCATCACTTCATGTGATCTGGACACTATACTTCTGTTGATACAGCCCAAAATCACATTTGCCTTTTTAACTACCACATCACACTGCTGACACATGTTCAGTGTATGGTCTACTATGACCCCTAGATCCTTCTCGTGCACACTACTGCCAAGACAATCTCCCCATTCTATAATTATGGATTTAATTTTTCCTACCTAATTGCAGAACTTTACATTTATCCCCATTGAAATTCATTTTGTTTTAGCCCAGTTTTCCAGCCTGTCAAGATCACCCTGTATGCTGACTCGGTCTTCTACCATATTTGTTACCCCTCCCAATTTAGTATCATCTGCAAATTTAATAAGCATCCTTCATCCAAATCATTTATAAAGATGTTGAACAGAACAGTTCCCAGGACAAATCCTTGAGGCACTCCACTTGTCACTCTTCTCCAAGAGGATGACGAACCATTAACAAGCATTCTTTGGGTGCAATCTGTTAACCAGTTAAAGATCCACCTAACAGTAATAGGATCCAAACCACATTTTACCAATTTGTCAACAAAAATATTATGTGAACCTTATCAAGGTTCAAGGTTTTATTCATGGTCTATGACCAAAACATTGGGGCAATACAACAATAATAAAATCATTCAGAATAGAATTTTACCAATACCTCATAATAAAATAATTTAGAATACAGTAGAATGCTACAAAATCTATTAAGAAGTTTAAAATCTCAACAATCCACTACTTGAACTATTACAGTTTTCCTATTCCTCGCAACAAGCCAACCAAATCTAGCTACCTGGTAAGTAACATTGTGATGCCTATCTGAAAGAAAGCTCCTCAGACGCCACAATCTCTGTCTGACGTTTAGAGGTAATAATGACATAGGCAGAGGAAGGGATTCACGAATTTTGTAATACACCTTACAATCAAACAGGATGTTGTCTAGCGATTCTATACCTTCATTACAGCAAGGGCAAATCCTTTCTTCATAGGGAATCTTTTTATACTTTCCTTCAAGGACAGCTGAGGGAAGTGTGTCACAGTGCATTAGCGTGAATACTATCCTATACTCTTGGTTTAATAAGTGGGAAAAATAAGGCATAGAGGTGCCCTCATAGTGGGTGGAACATTATCAAAAGCCTTACTGAAATCAAGATAAATCTCCTTCTGATTTCTTGGTTGCAGTTTCCCTTTTGGTTGATGATGGAGCAAAGGAATAGGAAATTACAATTAAACAGGATGTTGTCTAGCGATTCTATACCTTCATTACAGCAAGGGCAAATCCTTTCTTCATAGGGAATCTTTTTATACTTTCCTTCAAGGACAGCTGAGGGAAGTGTGTCACAGTGCATTAGCGTGAATACTATCCTATACTCTTGGTTTAATAAGTGGGAAAAATAAGGCATAGAGGTGCCCTCATAGTGGGTGGAACATTATCAAAAGCCTTACTGAAATCAAGATAAATCTCCTTCTGATTTCTTGGTTGCAGTTTCCCTTTTGGTTGATGATGGAGCAAAGGAATAGGAAAACTTAAACAATTTCAGTTTCTTCATCATCAATCTTAAAGTTGTGAAATTCCCCAGTAGTAATTAATTTTGTCTTCTTGATGTTCAGCTGTAATCCTACTTTGGCACTTTCTGCTTTAACCTTCATCAGTAGTCATTTTAAGTCTTCCCTAATTTCTGCCAGTAATGTGGTATCATCTGCATATCTCAAACTGTTAATGTTCTTTTCACCAATTTTCTTTATGCCTTCATCTAAATCTAATCCAGATTTCCTTATGATATGTTCTGCATACAGATTAAAGAGACAGGGAGATAAAATATATCCTTGTCTGACACCTTTGTCAATTGGAAACCATTCTGTTTCTCCATATTCTGTTCTAACAGTAGCCTCTTGTCCAGACTCCAGAGTACTGGTTGCGCATCAAAACAATCAGACGTTGTGGCACACCCATTTCTTTTAAAACCAACCATAGCTTTTCATGATCCACATAGTCAAAAGCATTGCTGTAATTTACAGAACATGAACTTATTTTCTTCTGAAATCCTCTCATATCCTCCCGTAAGGAATGTAAATTTGCAGTATGATCTCTAGTGCCTCTTCCTTTTCTGAATCCAGCTGGAACATCTGACATTTCTCTTTCCATGTATGGTAACCGTCTTTGTCAGATTTTGAGCATCACGTTACTTGCATGAGAAATTAATGTGATGGTCCAATAGTTGCTGTAGTCTTTAATGTCTCCTTTTTTCAGAACTGGAATGTAGATTGAGCAGTCTGTGGGCCATTGTTTTGTTTTCCAGGTTTGTTCGCATATTATTTCAATGGACTTCATTTCTGCAATGTGAAATAGCTCTATTGATATCCCATCTGCTCCTGGTATTTTGTTTCTCTCAATTGCTTTGAGTGCAACTTTCACTTCACTTTCTAAAATTGCAGGTTCTTCTTCAAAAGGTTATTTTTGGAAGGAATCTGTCATCTATTTCATCTGTTCTGTATTGTTCTTCAGTGTATTGTTCCTATCTTTCCTTTATTTTGTCCTGTTCAGTTAATGTATCTCCATGTTGGTCTTTCAGCATGTCTAATCATGCTTTAAATTTCCCCTTGATTTCTTGGAGCTTGTGGAATAGATCTTTTGCTCTTCCTTTTTTCTTGTTCTTTTCTATTTCTTTACACTGGTTATTATAACAGTTGTCTTTGTCTCTAAGTGCCACTCACTGAAATGCTGCATTTAGACTTATGATTCTATTTGTCACCTTTTACTTCTTGTCCATCTTTAGAAATTTTAAGAGCTTCATCAGTCATCCATTGAGGCTTTTCATTTCTTTTGGCTACAGGAATACTCTTAGTACATTCTTCCTTGGTAATATGCCTGCTTTCAACCCATAGTGCTTCTGCTTCCCGTTCACTTCAACTTAGTAATGCAAATCTATTCTTTACATGGTCTTTAATGGTCCAAAAACACTGTTTAGATTGTATTTTGAGACTATGAAAGTGTTGGTGTTTTTCTTCAGCCTTATTCTTGATGGTGTGTACCACTCAGCTCCTGATCCTGCTTTAGCAGAGAGAATAGAGCTTTTCCATCTTCTGTTTCCAATTATGTAATCTATTTGATTTCTTATTGACCATCTGGTGATGTCCATGTATACAATTGTTTGTTTGGTTGCTTGAAACACTCACAATGAACAACTTTTTGTCTTAACAGAATTCTATGAGTCACTCTCCTGCTTCACTGTGTGCTCATAGCCCAAATTTCCAATAATAGTTTATTCTATTTTGTTTCCCACTTCTG